ATAATTAAGGACGGTAATTGGCATGACTTCTTTTTGCAGAGTAAAATTGATTTTCAGAATATTGGTAGTTGTTAAATCAGAGGATTTTATTCATAAACCTCATAACGACAGAATTTATTTCAATAACGCTATTATCACGGCATACATTATTTGGTATGAATTGCTGTCAAGCAAGTCCCTAAAAATTGATGTCAATGAAAAAAAACAGCGTTTTCAATCTAGTGCACCAAGGACTTCTCTCCTAATGACAATGTAGATGAATGATTCATGCTATTACAATTACTTGTAAGTGAAATGATCCATTTGAAATTCCCCTGACTACTTCTGCTCTCAGCAAGTCAATTCTGTAATATTCATTTTTTGATTGCCTTGACACAGCGATCTGCCACCCGAGTCTCTGTTCAGAAATTAACCGCTGCTTTCAGAGAGCACAAACGGAAGCTAAGCGGACTCTGGAAACAAACTAACAAGCCATGTTGTCAACGTGATTCCCCGTCTCCTTTTAAGAAATCGTCACACGAGACCCTTGAGTCCACCAAGTGAACTAGATTTGTGAAGTAGCCTGCCCACACTGTTCTGATGTTCTGTATTAATGTTTTTTCAGCAACCCTTTATAAGTATCTGCAATTGGTTTCAGTACAACAGCCTACGATGTTGCCAAATGTGTCATAACTTGCCAACTTCTATAAAAAGCTTGACAGTATAACACTGTATGTATTGTATGAAACCTGACCGTGCTCCGTCCTCTTCAACAGGACCGTATCTTAAGTGAAGTAGTTCCAGTAGGGAGCTGCGTCAGCATGCCTAGGCTGCAGAGGAACAAGTAAAGGTTTATTGCATGCTGAAACAAGCAGAAAAAAACCACAACGTTTCGGCAGTGGAGCCTTCTTCAAGCAAGAGCTCTACTCCAAGCCCATAGATGAATGAGGAAGGGGCCGGACTCTTGTCCCCCCTTTGTGAGATGAGAGAATGTCAGAGTACCCAAAGAAAAACAAGGTAAACACGAAGAAGAACATGCAAACTCCACACAGAATGCACCTTTTTGATCAGAACCCTGAATCAAATCCAAGACCCTAGAGCTGCAAGGGAGAAACACACCACCCTGCTCCTAACCTGATAGCCGTCTATAAAGCATTGTGAGCTGACAGATGTAATAGGTAACCATCTAAACTGCCTTTTCTCTTTGAACCACTTATTGCACTTTGAATCGTTTGTTTTACAGAAAGCCTCTGCCTTTGGTCAGAATTAATCCCACACTGTGACATTAGTTGTTAGTTATTCTAGACAAGGTTTTGGGTATTTGGAGGCCTACACCATGAATCAGTCCACAAAATAAGAGGCTCTCCCAAGCAGACTGGGTCCTCATTGGCTCAGGAGCATGGAGAAGAACTGAGCTGGGCTCATCTGTTAGGTTTGCTCAGTTCAGAGACAGAAAGCATTGTGTTTTCAGAAATGAGTAGCCTAGTGTCAGACAGCAGTTGAATCATGTACTCTGTGGCCATCAGCTGTAATTATGATTGGACATGGGCATCAGATTTGGTGGGTTATGGTTTAACAGGAGACTCAGGCAGGGAGAATGTAGCTTCAAAGAAACAAAGCTCATTTGACAATACTGTGTGCATGTTTTAGTGTCAGTGGAAATCCCACTGGGACTCCTGCGTGCTGCCTTTTTCATCACTGTACCCTGCAGCTGGCATTACTGAATCAGCACTGACTCAGTTTAGCTCTCTTGCTTCGGGTTTTTTATGTGTCAGCTCCTTGGTTTAACTAAGCAAATAGTTTGTTCAAATCAGCAATTAAAGAACTCACATGGCATTAAAGGAAGACTGCTCTCCCTCCTCTCCTGGGAAACTGAGATGAGCAACTTTAAACAAACTCAGCATTTTGACATTTTAGGCATCAACAGTACAACAAATTAATGATCTTGGACTGAGGACATCATTGAAAAAAATTCAGCTCATGAAGATGATCATAGTTTCATCTTTCTTGTGAAAGGCAAGAGTCAAAAGTTCTAATATTGATTGTACGCACATGAAGTTTTATGCACTTATAAGCTGGCAAAGGTCATAATAATAGATGCACTTTACATTAGTTGAAGGAATCTTATTCTTGTGTTATTACATGTCCCATATTATTTTATAATCTATGTGTGACCCACTGTTGTCTCTCTTATTAAAGACTCAGGGAGAATAACCTGTTGAAAGGATTCCCTGTGCCTAATGAGAGGTAATGTTACAAATGGACTTCATGAGTATGTGTGACATTAATTAAATTCCTCCATGGACTTCCTGCCCATTAGTTTTATGGCAAAGGACATGATTGTTTCTGAAATTGTGTATAGACAAAGACAATAAACCACAGGAAACATGCAATATAAAAAACAGAACAAACACATCCCATGATTGATAAGGCCTATATCAGAAAAAATAACATAGAAATAAATACTGAAATGTCTTTTTAAAAACACTCGAGCCTGGAAAAGCTCTTTCAATGAGGAGTTTAAACCTTCAAATTGCTTTTACACTTTTGCGGTCTTTGTCTGCAAAGGTTACTGGTCACAGCGTGGTTTTTAACATTGTTAATCAAATTATTTATTTTAATTCCTGAAAGGTAACAGAAACAAGAAAACATTCATCCTTTTGGACACCAGTCTTGTTATGTTCCCTTCTGGCTGGGCTGTTTCTTGATTGAACCAATTACATCCTTAATTAGATCTTTTCTTCACAGTTTCTAAAAACTTACGGCTTTCAGGCATTTCAATAACTTTGCAGATGACTAGAAATCAAAAGCTCTTCTAAGAGATGGAAGCAATTAAAATGACTAATTAGGACAATTATTGGTTCAATTAAGTGTCAGAATAAAAACTAGAAGGCAAGACCATATTGGGGAACATCTGTATTAATGCTAGAGGACATTGGTACTTACAGAATTTTATCAACATCAGAAACCTGATGGGCCATAACTGACATTCACTCGACTCAAGTAAAGGCTCAGGCAATACATACTGTAGCAGAGAAGCTCCCTGTGGGCCACACCACAGTGCACTGCAGCAGACTTGTATTTTCACAAGCTGAAGGCTTTGAGACAATTGAGCATCTAGTGAATTCGGTGAAGTAATTCAAAAGGCAGGGTATAATGAAAGATTCCTCAGTCTCTAGAAAAACCAGGCTGTACACGTATTGTATAAACTAGTAATCTCTTACAAGAGGAAGGCTGGGAAAATCTTTTGGAGGACAAGGAAACCAATGATTATGTTGGGGTTTTTTTTCTGAGTCTCCCTGATTACATTTTCTCTGTGATTACAGGTGGCATGGAATAGAAGCACACTTAATTCACCTGCTGTTCCCCAGTTGGTATTGATTTAATACAGGGGCAGTGCACCTTAATCCAGATGAGCCTCTCTCAGCCTCCTCCGTCCACCTTAATCAGCTCTCAACAGCACAAGGCTTTTTGTTTATGATGATCAAGGCAGGAACATCTGCATAGAATGGATTTTGAATAAAGGTGGAAAGAAGGTAGTATTTAGGTGCAATAAACTGTGTCGAAGCATAAGTCTCTCTTGTCTGCGTCTTTGTCATTCTCCAATGTGATTACTGCTCCTGCATGGATCTGAAACACAGTTCGTTTTCATGTCCCAGCTTTTGGACCAAGGCAGGGAATTTCTACAATAATAATCATAATTTGGGAAAAACAGAAATAAATGCTGAGATTGAGGAGAATTTTAATTTCTTTTTGTTCAAAAATGGCATAAAGATAATAAACATTCATTAAACACGTGCTGAGTGTGTACAGTATATTGTACCTTTATAATGTCTACAAGTTTAATGTTACTGAAAATGATGGAAATTCAATGGTCACTTGAGATTGGAAATATGACTTTGGGGTGGAGTTTGGTTTGTGCTTCTGGTCTGGTGTCACCTACTGTATTTGTGCTGAACTTCCCTGCTGCCGTCTGTGGAGAATTGTGCACTCAGGAGATTAAGTACATGGCTTGTGCCACAGTTCCACAGCAACAAATTACTGTAGCCTTGCATTCAGCATCTCCTTTTTCATAATCCTCCACATCGAAATCAGTTTCTGGGAGTCTAGTGGGTCTGGTGAAAAGGCAGATGCTGTGCTTAAGAGTCCCCAGAATATCACAGCAGAAGTGCCTGGTAGTAATTTCTGCACACATCTTAGTTAGAATATCTAAATAGAACATCTTATTTAAAGATGGGCAAAATTAACAGCTGTCAAAAACATTGCAATGCCTCTCAGGAAATCCATTATTTAATATTACAAATCAATAAATCAGACTTTACACGGTGATCTGCTGACAAAATGTATGTTTGAACACCTGTATCACAGGCTTGTGGACAGAATACCGAATATTAGTGACTAGCAGTGCTCTAATAAAAGGATAGCTTCTGTCCACATTTGCTAAATCACTCAATGGCGACGACAAAATCCTGCTTCTGCTGCGGATTGGCAGACGTCCTGCAGAACACGCTATATTCCGGTACTAGTTACTCGTTTATCTGTGCCTCTGCGTGTTTACTGAGACAATTAACACCGCAGATCTCATCAAGTATGTAGAATAAATAATTGAATACGAATATGCTGATAGGAAATTGAACTGTTTTTCCATTTTTTTTATCGTAGAAGATTCAGTTTTTCCCCCACCTTGGTTTATTTCCCTATTCCGTGTGCACTAAATGTCACGGATTAGACAGTTCAGCCGTAGTAAAAAGGAGCTGTTCGCGGTCCTGTCTCGGCTGTGTTTAAGCAGTCCCGGGAATTGTGAGATTATGGAATTTTTAAAGATTAAATTCTTTGATCTGTTGTAGCGGAGTATTAATGTTGGGCTGTTTTACTGCAACCATAAAGGCTTGGAAGGACCGCTAAATATAACATAACTAACTAGTCCATCGATTCTCAAGGCGCTGCTGGTGATGTTCAGAAAACATCACCTATTTAAGAGTGACCATTTTCTTGTTCAACCGGACCGTGTATGTACCGACTGGGGGGCGGCACGGCGTGAACCATCAAGCCCCGCTCCCCCGACAGATTGACATCTCCGGTTCCAATTGGAAGCCAGTCTGGTCTTTTTTTTGCCGAAGCTCCTGATTGGAGCAACCGGTCAAGGCCGAGGGCAGGTGGAATTGCACATTTTTCTCCGCAGTCTTTCGGTGAATGTCCGTGCGTATTGGCGGACAGGTGGGAGAGTGTGCACGGTGCATGGGTGGTGATACGCCGAGTTGGGATATATGATAGTGGATCGGAAGATTACACTCAATGTTCTGAGGCTGTTGTTGTTGTCGTGGTGACTGGCTTGGAGTGATTGTGGGTTAGGAGCCTGGCAATTTGCAGATGGGCATCCTATGTACGACAGCTCGATTGGATGTTCCAACTAAAATAACAAGGCAAAAATGACGCCTGGCTGACAGCACACCTTCTGTTGTACAAAATGTTACTTCTGCGTGGTTTTGAATACATGAAAAATAAATAGAAAATCAGAAGACCGTGGCTCGAGAATCGAAAACTCACAGCGGAATGAATTGTTTACTTCTGATGGGAAGACGTGGCCCACTACTGATTAAACAAGTCGGCTGAGACAGACCTTTTTTTAATAACTAGTTGAGCAATTGCATCAGCTAGAATATTTATACGGATTGCCCGACTCTGCTTAAAAATAAAATAAAAAGCATGTATCGTTTCAATGTTTAAAATGCATCTTGCTTGTCAGGGGCTTATGGACAGAATGCCGAATACCTGGAAGAAATAAACTCGTAACCTTGCGGCGGCTAACCGAATTCGTTCACAAGGAAGAAACCCTCCTCCAAGACTTTCATTAATACGCGTTGACGATCGAGTTGCGATTCGACTGTCGAACCTGGCTTGGATTGAGAGAAGATAATTTTTAGTGCTCCCAAGGCGACTTTCTTGTGGGTGTTTTTGCCCCGGTGCTCTCGAAGTAGCCGGGTTCGGGCTGAGCGTGCAGGTGTGTTAATTTTGGCAGACAACATGCCCGCATCCGGGTCCGGTGCCAATCCGGTGGAGTACTGGGTTGACGGGTCCCGTCGCGATGTTGCCATCGGGAATTACTACAGCATGGGCCCGGAATTAGGAAGGTACAGTACTCAGCCGTCAACGGATTATTTCATTTCATGCATTCACGATCCATGCATTAGTGGTTATTAATTATCACACATTCGAGAAAATAATAAAAACAACAAAAAGGCCTGTTTGAACCAGCTAGTTGCCAGGCGTCAAAATTCGGATTTTAACTCGTAAAGTTAGTTTTCCAGGTGATTAAAGTCAATATATATATATAGTCATTAAGCGTGATAATCCGTTTTTATTTAAAAAGTGTGTGTCTGAGAAGTATTTATACAAATTCTGTTGTTGCATTAGCGCAGAATATAGGTGGTCTATATACAGTAGTTAACTAACTACTCCTAGACTACATAGATTGTGAATTAAAATTCTTGCAATTCATCGTGGTTCTTTAATTTTGTTGGCCTCCTAGAAAAAAAGGTTCATACTTTTTATTCTGTAGCAGAACACTAAGGCAAAGGGACGGCTCCAACTGCGCCAATTAAAACCTAAGCTCTTGAAGCAGCTGTTGCTGCTGTGTTGTGTACAAACACGCAGTAAGAAATTACTAGACGAGTCATTTACTTTACAGGCTCCGCAACCAGCAATCAGGTACTGTTAAAACTCGCATTTTCTCAGTCTTAACAAACAGCATCAATTAATCAATTATCAATTATATCAATTAATGAAATCCGTAAAAAATGTCACCAAGTTTCTTAGCTTCGTGGACCGGCCGTGACAGCCGAGTTTAGAGACGAAGGATTCGCATTTGAGCCTGTGCAGGGACGTCAGGTTTTTCCCCTTTCCACGAATAATTCCACGATTTTAAACAATTAGGATTTCGATTTTTTCAAATAGATTTTCAAGTTCTCCTTGGTATTTTAATTTGTGAACTTAAGTAAGTAAGCCTGCTGTTTTATTGTTCAATGAGGTTAGTCCATACAGTAGGTGCACAGCTCCAGCCTATCAGAGACAAACTCCATCAGGGTTTTTATAGGTGTCTTTAAATGTTCAACAGATGAAGACCTTTGAAAAGTTTAATTGGCCCAGTTAAGCTCATTATTAGATCATTAAGAGCTGGGAAAAACATCAGGTATCAGGAGTTTCAATACCATATTTTCCATTGTGCTGTGGTATTTCTTTCAGTTTCCTAAATGATATACTTGCAGTTACCTTGAAGCAATGTCATGCATTGCAATAAATGTTACTCAGTCTATCCATGATGTAACAACCTGTCATGATTTCTGATTAAATTGCAGTTGTACTGTAGATTTATGATCTTAGGCTGAAATGTCACTGCAGTTTTGATGCAAGTGTTCTCAAACATTTTGGCTATAAATCCAACTGAAATGGATTCATAGAGTAATTAAAACATGAGATCCTATTGAGGCGTTTGTGTAATGCAGGAGTCTGGTGTCTGAAATCCTGCAGGTTTTCCATCTCATTAGATGTCAAGAGCTGAAGACTGTGAAGAAGGGACAAATTGGTCCATTTAAACCTTAACTGAATCGATTTATCACATCTCCTGGGTGCAGAGCTCTTAATAACTGAAGGAGCTGGATGCCTGCAACAGAATAAGGTTGGAGTGGATCTGTAGTGGGTTCAGAAGCCCAAGAGCATGGGGGCACAACTTTAGTCCTGGAGTACTGAAAGATTTATTCTTGTCCTTCCTCCTGAGTCCGTGGTTACCTAATTGAACTCATTATTTGCTTAATTGGACAAGTTGAAGCCTTTCCTAGTTTTGATAAAGCTGGGGATTTAACGAGCCCTCTAAAACCTGCTGGACAGTGGCTCTTCAGGTTTGGAGTTGAGCTCCCCTGCTCAAGATCATTATGCATACTAAAGGGACACATACTGAAGGGACACATACTGAAGGGACACATACTGAAGAGACACATACTGAAGCTTCTAAGAAGAACGGCTTGAAGATTCATTTTAAAATGCATTTTCTGTCACAATGGTCTGTTGTCAGTTTAGACATGGGTAATATCCTATACTGGAGACCTCTGTGGTGGTGCTGGATGTACCTAATACCACTACCAGACAAGTCATTTAGAAGAGCCTGCATTGACACCTCACACTACCGTCTGCAGACCCAGCAGCCGAGTGCCCTCAGGGGCACACACTAATGGGAATGTCTTTTTGCATGAAGAGGAAGCTAGAATGGCAAATCAAAATAATGGAAAAGAGAACAAAAATCATGCCTCCAAGCTGCTTCTATCCCTCCCTTTTATTAGGTTGCAGGTGATGCAGACTGGGTCTTTGATGCTAAAGAGAAAACTACAATCTCCCTGTGCCTCTTTACTCAAGGACATCCAATAGCCCACAGTGGAGTTATGGATTTGTGGAACACTGCCGGTACTTCAATGTGTTTATTCACCCGGGGTTTCGAGATGAATGAATTCCCACAACCCCTCGCTGGGGGAGGAGCTCAGCGATACACTCGCCGATGTTCATGCTCCACTGACTCTCTGATGAGGTTTCTGTGAAGACACCCCTAAACATTTCCTGTTGTTGTGCACTAGATACTTTAGGACAAATTCCACACAGTATTTATCCTACCAAATGTGAAAGATACCCAGCTATTTGTTGCAGTTGATACCCTGATTTATTTCAAGAATGAGATCTTTGGATGAACTAACTACAGTTCTTACTATCAATCAGGTATGCAAGCCCGAATGGCCTTCTCTTGTTCTTATGTTCTTATACATGACCATATTTGCCTCTGTTTTATTCATCCAGCCAACCATGGGTTATAAGGAATCTTTTTCTATGTAATGTTAAGGACTATGACAAGACAAAATGTTTTCCTGAAGAAGCACAGGACATGACTTAGAACTAGATGGACATGCCTGATATCATCTTGGGTGACAGTCAGTCTGTTACAGAGCTATCCAGAAGGGGACAAAACACTGTAGATTCCACAACAGACCAATCCTGGCCCTGGAGTCCCTCCCACATCCTGGTTTTCAGTGCAGCTGAACCCCTGACTGAACTGAATCCTCACATGTTGTTTGTTTGGAACCTTTACTGCTTTATTTTTCTGCTCAAAGGTCAGGTTCGAGATTTTTAGATACTTAAGAAACCACCATACTTAAAAGTATGACAAGAAATAGGTTTATTCCATGCTGAAAGGAGAAGACAGAAAACGCAACGTTTCGGCTGTGAAGCCTTCTTCAGATGTGAGCACCATACTTTAAAGGCCACCTTCTGCGTGTTAAGGAACTGAAAACAAAGAGTGCAGAGTAAATGAATTGTTAGGGCTATTAAGGACTATGAGTGCTCATCCAGAACAAAAAACAGTAGTTAGGGAGCCCCCAGAACTAGGACTGGGAACGCCTGATCTAGAGAATCCTGTCAAACCATAGAGAGAACATGGAGCGTCCAGAGAGTTTGAAGCCAAAGTCATAACCAGGTGTCTGGAGCTGTGTTACAGCAGTGCTTGCTGAACTTAACCCCGGCCTGTCCCACCTTTGGGTTTTTACTTATGAAAAAGGAGAGGATGCATACGTATACCTAATATACAAATTTGAGTAAAGGAAGCTTCCTTTTTATTTCCCCAGACCTCTTGATTTCCTTTGTCAAAGCAGTGCCGTCGACTTTCAAAATATACTGTACTTTATGACTATGGCTTGAAAGGTGTGAGGCGAATATGGACATTGGTCATCCGTCAGGCTGTTTTTTGCAGGATTGTGGCGATGAGGAAAGACGGGTGCTAGGAAAGTTGAACTGGATGGTGGAAATGGGCTCTGTGTGCAATGAACTGAGTGTGCTCTCGCGCCCTCTGGCAGGCCCAAGCTTTGGTCTCAGCAAGCCCTAGAAAAATGCCAGCACTGCTCTTCAGTCCGGGTGGCAGATTGAACCTCAGATATGAAAGGTTTCGGCCTCCCACTGGAGAGACCACATGAGCTGGGAGAGAAAGATAAGACCCTTCATCTGCTGTTTTCCATCTGGCTCCATTCTTGCCAGGAAATCAGAAATTGCATCTTTTCCATTTTTTTTTTCAGTATAGCCTCTGTGAGTCACCAGTCTGTGGCTTCCGATCCAAAGAGCCACCTGGGACATGGAGCTTTCTAGGGTTTTACATGGGCCTAGTGCTGATGAAATATTTGTCATCTGAGCAGATGGAATTTTGCCATGCAGTGGGAAATATAAATATATTTATATTGACAGAAGTTCTTTGAAGTTGGTAATTAAGTGAACTTAGGAAATCCTGAGGCACAGTGATCATCAAAGATCAAAAGTATGGGCACAGATTAGTTTAATAAATCTTCTTTTAAAAATTTGAATATGAATCCCTGTATACAGGAACAGTCCCAGAAACCTAACATCTTGTGTACATTTTTGTGGCTCCCTAGTACTAAAGGAACTTCATCACCCTTCCTTAAAGATGTAGAATTCTCCAGGTCCACACTGGCATGAAACTCAATAGCAGTAATGTGTTGTTATCCTGTACGATGATGAAGACTTTTCATACCCAACACCATATTTACCCTAATATAAGCTGTCCCAGAAATTGGAACTGTGGAGATTGAAAAAATAACTCTATAAAGCACAAGTTACCTTTCTGAATAATTAGTGGTAATGAAAGAAGTTCTCTTGGTTATAAATAAAGGAAAATGGAGAGTTTAAAAGACAAAATGCAAATATGCTTTCAAACCATGCTTTTTTCCCTAAAAACTTGTCTTGCTTCCTTTTTCAAGCAAGAGCTCTTCCTTCATCTCTCTCCATCGTATTATGCACTAGTGCACAGCTTGAACACCCCAGACTGCCTTCCTGTCTGATGATTCCCATGCTGTTCAGCACACAGAATCACCTCCTCCTTGAACACAAAGTGTGCCCTGATCTCTTCTTCATTTTAGACAACACAAACGGTTTTTAGGAAGTTTTTTTTTAATCACTTGATCACAACAACACGCCAGAATCAGACAAAATGATGGTCTGTTACAGTATGTGCAAATGTGGTAAATACGTCAACAACCAGATCAACTTTCTATTTTTTTACTTGTATTCGGATATACGTCTCAGCCCAATTGTACCACCCTGAAATTTTTTGGGAAAAAAGTGTGGCTCTTATTCAGGTATATATGGTACTATAAGGCAAAAGAACAGATTAAGCAATATGCATTTTATATAAGGGCCATAGAAAACATGGTTATCCCTTTGCATAAGAAGCTGAAGAAAGTTAAACTGCAATTCTGTCAAAATAAGCTGTACGTGAAGGGATGTTAAAGACAGTGGTCATGCAAAAAAGGTGTCCCTTAGTATTCAAGAACATGGAAATAATGGTTTCACGCAGGTGGATAGTTCTCTTTTGATTGCAGGAAACAATAAAAACTACCCCTCCACTCCCCCCCTTCTCCACCTTTCCTCTCTGCTCTGTGCCTGGAGCTGTATGTCTCCTGGGAGAGGGAAGGTGGTTAGGGGCTGATGTTTTGGAAGAAGCATGCTGGTTGCTGGGGAGATGAGTGTCTACAGTGTAAATCAGAGGAATGGACTAATTAGTGAGCCACTGGATGACTGATAAAAAATGGAAAGATGTCCAAGAATGGTCCTGATCTTCGGGGAGTTTTCCGAGAGGCAGTGAGAGAGCAGCAGATTCTATTCTCTCTTGTTAGGTTGTACTTTCATCTTGTATCATACTGAGTGTATCCAATTCTGGGCACCGGATCATGCTTTTTAGCTTTGAGGTGGCATGATTGAAGGGAATTCGTTCTTCAGCATGGCTATTTCCTCACACAGGCAGGCAGGCTTTTCAGAAACACCTGAGACAGCAGTGGAACACAGCAGTCCAGGAAAAAAAATGTACAAATCTATAAAGGGACACAACTCTTTTTCTTTTTTCCAGCTTCCCGAGAGATCGATTGTTCATTGTGATAAGTCGTTACTCTTTTTCTTCCATGCCTCATAAATGTGTTTTCTGAAAGTGTAAGATGTGCTGTTGCCACAACCCATATTTTCACACCGCCATGCAATCAGGGGAAGAAATGAATAGTGGCTGGGCTTAAAAATGTTCTTACGGCTGGTTTCTTTGTCTTTAGTTATTAGAACTTCACAGAAAAAAGTGGAAAGGGAAGACGAAACAGAAATAGGCAAATACAAGCCCATCTATTAAAGGAAACTTGGCTCTTTCGTTCAGTTGCAAGTCTTAGTTCAAACAAATCCATAATTAGGAGAACCTCAACACTTAGCCCGATTAAGAAATAAAGTAATCAAAGCATTGACTGGACTGTAAAAGAACATCTGTGAAGTGAACAATAAGAAAAAGAGAATTGGGAGATTGAAGTCCAAGAAAAGCCAAAGTTATCATCTACCTAAAGTACTGGAATTTCAGCGGAACATATCCACGTTTTCATCGTTTCCTAGCACTATGTCATAGAGAGCAGAGGGCAGTTTTTCCATGGTTGGAACACACTTTGATTTTATTTCCTCAAATCATCCTGCAAAGCCTGGGCCCTCCACTTTGCCTTCCCTGGGGTACATGAAGAATGTTGCAGAGAACCGCAAAAAGTGAAAAGTGACTTAATGCTGCCTCTCAGATGGGGAGCATGGAGGGGAAAAGACACAGGAAGAGGGGGAAACTGTTCGAGTGAGAGTGTCTCGTTAGAAACAGGGAAGGACTGGTGTGTGGTATATTGAATAGTGAAGTCCCCTGTTAAGCCTCATCGATAGCCTGCAGTGGGTTGTTTTTGTCCTTTTGGAAGCAGAGGCTGTATTTTGGATGCTACAGAGGTCATGAACCCTGCTGCGTTTGTCAGGCTATTAGGGATGTTGATTCAAAATCAATAGCTTCTCTTGGGCTGTGTACAATTAAACATCATCACAACTTGCTCCTGTATTTATTGTTCTTAATTTTGATTTTTTTTTCCAGTTTCAAACTGTACTCTGAAAGACCCAAGCTTTCAGTGAAATAGTGTCTTTTGAAAAAGTGTGAATATTTGTTGGAGCACCCCATTGCTCCTGTAGTTTTCAGTTCTTGTGGTAGGGAAGGTAAACGAGTATAACAGAAGTGTCAAAATAGGCTGATTATTGATTGCATAATTGGACCTGCTGTTCAATTCAAAATGTTTCAATACAAATGCCATTCCTGTGCAATAGTTACAGAAAGAGATCACAGGGACACAAGTGGTGACATTTAAAAAAGACTGGACAGATGGAGTCATGGATCAATGTGAAAACAGGTGTATTTTGATTCAGCATGCTGTTGCACCAGGGGAAGAAACCAACTGCATGGAGATTCATATTCCAAGAAAACAATCCAGTTTGCCAGTTCCGAGCTCGGTTTGTGATGGATGAGCTTGAAATGATATGAAATTTTAGTAGAACACAAATAAGTATGTGCAGTTAAACTGGCAATTGTGTGTGTTTATCTGCCGTTCATTTTCAAACTTGCAACAAATTCTCCTTTCCTTGTTTCAGAAAGGAAAACGATATTAGATAATATACATACATAGCGACATGCTTTTAAATCGCAGTTATGTCATAACTCCTGTTTCCTTCCTCCAAAGCGCTCCTCCCCCTCACCAGGCTGAAAAAAACTGAAATATACATCTGGCTGCAATATTATCTGCAAAGGAGATTAAAAGACAGGACTCAGCAAGACCAAGCCACATATTAAAGGCAACATACTGTAATATCAGCAGGGTGCAGAGATTTACAGACACTTAAAGAGGGCGGGAAATCAGCATTTGGTCAAGGACCATAATAATCAGAAATCCAGTATTATACATCTGCATCGGCTTCCTATTAAATTTTCTCTTCTTTAGCCAATGAATATGGTGTTTGTTCCACCCTGTGGTATCATCTACCAATAAGAATTATGGTGCAAGAGTCTTTGTGATAAGAAATGCTTCCCACTTAGAAAACGTTTCAAAACCCAACTAACCCCTGAAGCTCTTTATCCCAAAAAGACTTAATTACTCCCATACAGGAATTGACCATTTCTGTCCTTAACTAATTAACAAATGATTACCTAATTCACCTCCATTGTGCCTGTTTCCAAGTATAAGAGGCCTTGTCTGGGATCAAGTAGCTCAACCAACACTCGGTTTGAGTTTAAATGTTTTGAGTAAATTAATACCCCCCTTTTTTCCCCAAATAACTTAGTGGAAAAGCTCCAAGGTCACCTGATGCATGTTAAATAATTCCCTCAAATCCTCACCCCTTATTTTCAAACACACAGAGTAAAATCTATGTATTCACAACATAGCCACGGTGGCTCAGCTCAGATAGAGTGTTTGGTTTGGTCTTTGGAGGCCGTCTGACCTCTGTGTTGAAGGGATATGTGACCTTGTGTCAGGCTAATGTGATTGTCTGCAGGGATGGTTCACTCACTGTGTTAGGCCTTCATTCTGTGATTTTCCTAGGGGGGCCACATCTGTAGTTTTCAGGTGTGAAGAGAAACAGACTCAGAAGCCCTACGCAGCAAAGATACTAAAGAAAACGGTGAGTAGCTGCCATTCAAACCATCTTTCCACACCGTCTCTGCCCTGCGGTTTCTATTCCCCGGGGCAGACAGGATCAGTAACGTCATGTAACAGAAGGGAGAGCACTTTTGGAGTTTGGGTTATTCCCCTGTGGAGTAACGGCCAAAGATAGAATCTTGTGCAGTGGTTATGAAGGAGATGTGATGGCATTTTTTCCCTCATTTGAGTAAAGCATTACTCATTTTTTGGAGAGTAATTAGCCTGTAAACAGGTAGCAAGGTGGTGCAGTGGCCAGCATTGCTACCTTGCAGCTCTGGGGCCCTGGGTTCAATTCCGGACCTGGGGAGCCATTTGTGTGGAGTTTGTATGTTCTCTGCGTGTTTGATCCGGGTGTTCTGGTTTCCCACAGTCCAAAGACATACAGGTAGGTTGATTTTAAGTGGCTTCTGGGAAAACTGGCCGTGGTGTGTGTGTGTCTTTGTATGCCCTACGATGGACTGGCATCCCATCCAGGGTGTACCCTGCCTTGTGCCCATGGCTTGCTGGGATAGGCTCCGGCTCCCCACAACACTGAACTGGAGGAAGCAGCTAGAAAATGGATGGATATTCTGTAAACGTTAGATCAGTGTCACTACTATGTAAACAACATGCTCTGCAGAGAGATTCTTTCACAGAAATATTCCACATACTGTATGTGGGACTGAGCTATACCATAAGTATTATAAGTACCATTTAATATTGATCACATTTGAAGTGATAAAACATCATTTCCGACCAGAATCACAATCTTGAAATGGAGATTTAATTGACAAAAACCCAAATTAGCTTTCAGATTTGGAAAATAATCGCAATTGTAAGAGTAGAATGTAAAAAATTAGACAAGTGTTCTGTGAGAGTTTTGGAAAATTAAATTTTACACTATAATTATTATATTTCAGATTGACAAGAAAATTGTGAGGACTGAAATTGGCGTCCTGTTACGTCTTTCTCACCCGAATATAGTAAGTAATCTGGGCAGTGTCCTGAAGTCATCCTTTATTTTTGTTTTTTCGTAAAGCAAAAAATGTAAGACCTTTCTTTACATTTTTTCCCAGCAAAAAAACATTACTGAAATCTCCAGAATGATAACTGTCAGCTAATGCTTCTCATTTCTTGTTGTGTTTCCTTGTGGCCTTCAGTTCCTGCTTCAGTTACTTCCCACTTGTCTTTTATCTTCTTGGCTTTTCCAGCAGTGTTTTTATCAGTGAGGAAGCAGAGGCCATAAGCCTCTGCAAAACAATTTCACAATGTTCTTCCTTTCAAATTTGTCTTAACCTGTGAGATATTGCTTGAAATTGAATTTAAGAATGAATAATTACGAGATGAGATCCTGTTTCATGTCCTTGACACTCAGCCTACTTGATGATTCTAGTGTCACACCCTGGTACTGGAAGCAGATTGTTTCTGGAAAAAGGACCTCTTTATCATTGAATTATACACTTAATACAATACATGCTTCACTGCTTTTTATATACTGTAGTATGCATTGTAGTATTGGCAGTCTGGTGATTACAATTATAAATAGTGATGTCTGTCAAACCTTTCCCTCCACACTCACGGGAAATGGCATAGTGTACTTTCTCTTGAGGGTTTGTAAATGTCATCATGAATATTGCATCTTGTGAGCCCAGTATAGTTACAGACCCGGCAGTAATGTGGCTCTTGTGTGGTTAACTGAACTGGCCACAGTATGACTGGCCCCCTCTGTGTCTCCCAGATCAGGCTGAAGGACATCTTTGAGACAGAATCGGAGATCGCCCTTGTGCTGGAGCTGGTGACCGGAGGAGAGCTGTTTGACAGGTCTGTCCCCCGATCAAGAATTCTCACAGTCTGATAGGATAGTTTGTAAAACAAAGTAGTTCAAGTAGGGAGGTGCGTCAGCATGCGTAGGCTGCAAAGGAACAGGTAAAGGTTTGTTCCCTGCTAAAAAGAGAAGAAAAGAAACACAACGTTTCAGCTGTGGAGCCTTCTTCAGGTGTGAGAAGACGGCTGCACAGCCGAAACTTTATTTCTTTTTTTCTCTTCTCAGCATGGAACAAACCTTTACTTGTTCTTTAGTTTGTAAAACAGTTCCTAAGGAGGTCATTGTTCTAAGTGGGAAGGCCTGTCTGACCTGGTCTCTTTTCAACGTCTCTGCTATAAACATGTAACCTGTACCATGCGGGTGAGAAGGAAGAGAAGGGTGGAATTTTGAGAGGCTCAGTTGTACGGAATGGTTTTCTGCGATCCTCACTGGCGGGCCGTTCTCGCGCAGGATCGTGGAGAGGGGCTATTACAGCGAGCGAGACGCTGCTCACGTCATCAAGCAGATCCTGGAGGCCGTGGCGGTAAGTCCGCGCTCTCAGTGCTCTTTTGGAGGGTCCAGTTCGCCTTCCTGTTTGGAGTTTTTATTTCCCCTGGCTGCTTCTTTTGAAAGTAGCATTAGCGTTGATGTGTGGGTCCTCTTTATTTCTGTACTTGTTGGGATCCACTTTAAATAAGTCAATCATCCATAGTGTGGCTATTTATATGTTATTAGAGGACTTACTGCAGCCTCTATTGGAAGTGGCCTCCAGTAACAGCATCATTTTCTTATGCCAGTCTGCCACAGTAGCTAGTTGATTCAAGGATCTTATCCAGCAGTTTCTTGGAAACCCGGTACAGGCTATTTCACAGGCTTTGACCACATGGCTGGGTAGTTTGTTCCATACTTCTGCAATCCTTTTTGTTAAAAAGAAAGTTTTAAAAGTGCTCCTATGTGGGTTGCCCCTGTGTAATCTGGTTTTGATTCAGTGTTGATGCTGTAGAAGTCACTGGGTTGTCTTTGTCAATGCCTTCACTGTACCCAGTCTTCCAGACTGCACTTCATGCTGTAGAACACCAGTCTGATTCTGCAGACTTTAATTTGTGCATTCAGTGTAAAGGGAAAGGGGCATCAGAAATTACCATCATACTGTATGTATCAGATGAACTGTTCATTGGATGCCGAAGCAGACACGCAGAAAGGCAATCATGAAAACACCTTGAAGAGATTCTCTTCGTCAAGTCCAGTTGCTTCCAAAGAAACACTGAGGCTTCATTTGTATATTGATTTTTATTCAGAACAGTATTACACTATGAATTGCATTCAGCAAGTGCACAATGACTGGAAAGAAAATGGCACCAGTGCCCCTTGAAATGTCAGGGGGTGGAATTGACTGATATGAGAGATGAAAATCTCCCGGCGCTTCGCAGCCAAACAGACACATTGGTTTATCTGAAAGTGGGTAGGACCGCAAGACCAGGGCTTTGTACCAGAGCTGTGCTTCCTGGCTAAATATGGGTCAGTGCTGTCATCACACGAGAAAAAGGTAGTACTGGGCGGCTCTCCCAGCTCCTGAGCATGTGGATTAATCCGTTCAGAATCCATCTCTTTTTTTTTTTTGCTTTTAATACCCTGGCCGAGCAGGAGAGGCAGCAGGGACGTGGGCGGTGCTATTATGTAACCTCCCCCGTGTGCATGTCGCCATGCCAGAGTGTTGTTTTTGTCAAGAGTGTGGCTGTATGTGCCCGTGGGGCTGTGCGTGCCTGAGAAGCCTGTTCGTCTGGCGTGTCTGATGCACACCGCTTCCGATTATGTACATGCAAGCACCCGTGCTTGCGAGAGACCGGGCTTCGATTTCTCAGAGTATCTGGCCTTCAGTGTATGCAGTGTGTGCCGATTTCATCTGCTGTTCCTGATCTCTCTGATCTCCGCTTTAAATAAATAAAAGTGGGCGGCGTGGTGGTTTGCAGTGCTCTTTTGCAGCGCTGGGGCCCTGGGCGCTGTCTGTGTGGAGTTTGTTTGTTCTCTCCAGGTTTGTGTGGGTCTCCTCCGGGTGCTTCCGGATTCCTCCCCTGGTGTGACTGGTTGTATGTATTTGTGTCTGTCTGCCCTGCGATGGACTGGCTTCCTGTCATGTCCAGGGTGTACCTGTGTCCTTCTTGTAACCACGCAGTGAAAGTGGTTAAAAATGGATGAATGGATATGTAGCAGCCTTGTGCTTCTTATTTTCTCTTAAGGCCTACTCTTAAAAATGCAATGGGATGACATGCATCTCTGACCATGGGTCCCATTTATCTCTGACCTGCCACATTGTTTCAGTAAGCTGGGAAGCTGTGATGGTTGGAAGATCATTATTTTGAAAGATCAGCCCACTGTGTTTGCATGAACATAGAGCCATAGGGCACAGCAAAGAGAGATGGACAACAGAAGATGATCAGTTTGAGCCACAACATCTTCACTGAATAGGAGAAGTGGGAAGTTCGGATCGTTCTGTTTGTCTCTGATTGCCACCAGAGAGGTTTTCTGCTCCATACAGTGGGATCCCTTATGTTCTGGAGGTGGTCTACTGACAAGACAGTGAAAAACAGGGCCTTTGTCTCATGTGAGTAAATAGAGTCGTTTGAAGTTCAGACCTAGTGTATCTGAGAATGGCTATCAGAGATGGGGGTCATTCTGCAAAGGCAAAATGAATACCGTGTGATGTGTTCAGTGAGGTTTATTTCAGCTTATCAATATTATCCTCGTAATGTTTTTTTCCATTAGCGCTAATGGCATTCAGCCTGCCACTTAGCCTGCAGTAGTTTCAGTGGAAGTTAATGGGGCTAATCTTAACAGCCTCTCTCTAGACAGTGTGTGTTGCTAATGTGCTGGAATGGAACATAGCAGCTGACAATTGCTGCTGACAGTAGATTCTGTGCTTATCTGAGTTGCTCAAGAGGAACATGTTTAAATTTATTTTTATGTCTGTTGTCTTCAGCTGAAGACAGGTGTGAAGCCCCTTGCTAATAAGTAGAACAATGAATAACAGTCTATTCAGGAGCTCTGTCTTAGTGTGCTAGACTATTGTGGGTTTAAGTAGTTGCGTGAGAGTTAGCACAACTGCTTACTCCAGGATGGGGCACCCGTGGTGAGTTGTGAACATGTGGTTTGTAAATTCTCTTTCTGTAGGGGGTGGTTCCCAGTACATCATGTGTAGCTGGTAGAGATTCAGCAAAACGTTAGTGCATTGCGAATTGGGTAATTCACAAAGCAGAGTGCAAATAAGGAGTGTATACTCAAATTGGGATAAATACATTAATGGAGTTTAGTGGAGAATCTGTATTAGGACCACTGTTCTACTTAATTTATATCAATGGTCTTGGTTCTGGTACAGTTACTAAAGTAGTTAAATTTTTCAGATGATGCCAAATGAAGAGGACTAGCAACATCAGTAGAAACAGCTAATGAAATAAATTTAAAAAAAGATATAGCTCAAATTCAAGACTAGGCAAACATCTAGCAGGTAACATTAAACATGGACAGGTCCAGGATTTTGCATGTACTGTAAGGAGCAAAGACAAACTATGAAACCGAAGAGGCCACTTATGATTTAAGACTTAATAATTTGTTGAAACATCACTTAAATCTTTTAGACAATGAAGGGAAGCAATAAAAAGGCAAACAGAATGTTAGGTTGTATAGATTTAGATATATACAGTATATTAAAAGTGTAGAACTTAAACAGTATATCAAATAATCAAATCAGTCAATATCAATATAAGAAAAAAGTAAGGCCTCATTTAGAACGTTGTGTACCGTTCTGGTCACCATGTTATATAAAAGGAATTTCTGTTTTGGATGCCGTCCAGAGAAGAGCAGCCAGATATATTCTAGGGCTCAAGGGAATGGTGTACACTGATGGTAGGAAGGAACTGAACTGTTCAAGTGGGACATGGACGACTACGAGGAAATCCGACCCGAAGTGTTCAAAATCCTCCATCACCCCGACAAAGTTAAGCCAGCGGATTTCCTAAGAATGAAGAGTGAAATTCAGACAAGAGGCCACAAGGTGAAGCTACAGGGAAGTGCATTTAAAACCAAGAACAAAGGGCACTTCTTTACCCAAAGAGAGGTGGGAGTTTTGAGCAAGCTATCTGGCCATGCTTTTGAAGCTGATTCTCTGTATTCTTCCAAGGCCGGATGAGATCCTCAGATCCATTAGCTCCTTACTGCCAAAGATGAGCGAGACAGGCCAAATGGCTTCCTCTTGTTTCTAAATATTCTTATGTTACCTTCTTATGATTATGGGACTAAAGAGAAAAAAAACCCCGGATGGACTCGAAAACCTGAATGGCCTCTGTTAGAGAGCTGGGGCTACTTAAACACACCGCAGCCAATGTTAAGAATAGCTAAATTAAGCAACATCTATATAAATAAAAGCTTATGTCAATCAATACTAAGAGCCTCAGGCTGCATTGTCTTCAGTGGCTCAGTGCTAGAAAGCAAAGGCTATGTGGTAAACAGTCGGAGAAGGAGCTTTTCAAACACTGTCAAATGTTGAAATACTCAGAAAAGCAAAGCTATATAATGGGAAAGGATTTGGATTTGATTGTCACCAATCTGTAGAAATAAAATGATCCCTGAGCTTCAGAGAGAACCATCTGTTGCACCCATTCTTGGGAAAGGTTTTAAGTCATGTGACAATGAGTCCTACATGACAATGTCCTGACTGACATGCGCAGTAAATTGGCATATTTTTATTAGTGTTGGTGCTATCACTGTTTTGCAAATGGAGGGGTAATGTACTGTCAACCAATTAGTGTAGCAGTAGGATACAGGATTCTATTCATACTTTAACAGATTGCATCTGCTACATGTCAGTGGCCCAAGCTGTGCACATCAGAACATGCAGTACCCTTAACTGCCCTTTCGTTACATACTTAATTCTTGGACTTCAGTTTCTAAATATTTTGAAGCTAATTAAATACATTCTGGAAAATTAAAATGCACATGGTTCTCTGCATCCTGCGAGTCTCATATAATATATATGCGGGATATATATATTTTTGTGTTCATATTATTTTTTGTGACGTGGTGAAACCATTAACAAAAAACGTCGTTTATGATTATGCAAAAGTAACTGGAGGGTGTTGTAACTGTGCTGAAACCCGTACATACGCACACATCAGTGAGTTCTGCTAAGAGATTAAACTTGATCCTGCTGTAGGGAGAATCCTCTGTACTGTACTGCTGAGCTTTTGTATACCGGCCTACAGTATGTAAATGCAGCAGGGCACAGGCACTGAGCCAGTTCCAGAAGTGATATCTCCACCCTCTGGAATCTAGACAGTGTAAAACTGCACCGACAGAGGGCCCAGTCACTGGGCATAGCAAAGTTGTCTGCTGTCTCTGAAGTGGCGCTTTGTGTGCTTGGATCGAATCCCATCAGAGGCAGGGAGAGCTTCACTTGTCACACTAACGAGACTTTGCCAAGAGCTTTGAGGACCGTGCTAGCCATGAACAGCCAGACTGAAGACTCCAATAACTGCAGGAGTACAATCGGGGTTGTGTAGTAAATCCCCTGTCCTTACGCTAGAAGGGCAAGAATGAATTGTATGCATGTGTGGTATTTTCCACACAAACTTCTGCATATGTTTGAAGTCCACTCATCTGGTTCTGGCGTGATAAGAGGGAAATCCTGGCAGCCTTCGTATTTCACGGTTCGTCCCAAGCATGCTTGTAGATTACATCCACATAACAAGCCTCTAGCCACTCACTCTCTTTCAAACTGCTGACGTACAATGGTTCCATGACCAGCTAGCAGGTAGACACCCACATGTCATGTGGTTATATCCAGGGATTCGTTATTATCTTTAGGCAACCACAGATGCGCGCCACACTTTCTGAACGCTTGCTTATTTGCATGATAGCGCCTAGCTCTGGGCTGCATGTTACTAACTGGCTCTCTGTGATTTGCATTGCAGTATTTGCATGAGAATGGAGTGGTACACCGGGACCTGAAGCCAGAGAACCTGCTGTATGCTGACTTATCACTGGACGCTCCCCTGAAGATAGGTACTTGAACAGTGAGCAATGTGTTGATTGATTTCATCTGGCGATTTAATGTATCGCTACCTATGTCTGTTGCCTTTTTCTCTCGCTGTATTCTAGCCAGTTGCTTGTGTTCCTTGTAGTCTCATGCATTCTTTAGAAGTTGTCAGTTGTCAAGAGAAACATAAGCCAGCTTTGAAGGAGTGGGTATGATGGTATGCTAAAATTGTCATCCCCTTGAATACTATCTCTAATTGCCTTTTGATAAAAAAATACATTAAAATGTTGCTTTCAATTCAAGTGTAAAGCTAGCTGTGCATGACAGCAAGCATGCGCACAGCCTCACATTTTATGATGATGACACGTATAGTTACAAAGGTTGAAAAAAGTCTGATTATCCTCAGGTGTGAAGATTGAGGTTTGATAAAGAAGCTTGTTCTATTTAGCTGGAGCTCAGATGATGACTTGAGGACTTGAGTGTTTCTTACCACTCATTATGTGCTTTTGTGTATGCAGCGGACTTTGGCCTGTCCAAGATTGTGGACGAGCAGGTCACCATGAAGACAGTGTGTGGCACCCCTGGCTATTGTGGTGAGTGACACTCTCCACCCTGGATCTCTCTCCTTCTGACCTCCTCTGGCCTCCCTCTTCGACTCCTAACTTTCTCTGCAGCTCAGCTGTGTGTGTGCGTATGTCCATTTTCAGCACCAGCAGTTCAGGTGCTTTGGTTTCATCTATGCGTGACAACAAGCATGCACACAGCCTCACATTTTATGATGAGGACACGTGTAGTTACAAAGGTGTGATTATCCTCAGGTATAAAGATTGAGGTATGATGAAGAAGCTTGTTCTATTTAGCTGTAGCTCAAATGATGACTTGAAAATCTTGGTGGAGGGTACATCAGGTTATCTAACATTTAGTCCCTCCAGTAGAACACATGAACATACAGGTTCTGAATACTATTGGAACAAGTTACCCAGCTGCCATAATACAGAGCACTTGTTCAGAGCAGGTGAGCAGCTGACATGTAAGCCAACACGCTTTCTTTTTAAATGTTGGTGAGTGGTTGAAACCAGACCACACCATTGCAGGAAGTATACTAGGTTGATTTACTCATATTTGATGTGCAGAATGTTTTGTGTGTCGAATGTTTTCCACATTGAACTCATTCTACATGTCCTTCCAGTTGGAAGAATACTTGACCAGTGTTTCTGTTTCAGCTCCTGAGATATTGAGAGGCAATGCTTATGGGCCAGAAGTGGATATGTGGTCAGTGGGGGTCATTTTGTACATATTGTAAGTGTTGCATAATTTTATAGTCATGCTATTAAAAGCCAAACATTACCATCTGAAATTTAATTCACTGTAAAGTCAGCAGTTTGTGCTCATGGGAGGGATGTACATTCTGCATCTTACAAACTCTTTCTTTAACGAAGTATTTTGTTTGACAATAAATCATGCATCTTACAAACTCTTTCTTTAACGAAGTATTTTGTTTGACAATAAATCATGCATCTTACAAACTCTTTCTTTAATGAAGTATTTTGTTTGACAATAAATGAAGCATTGTCCAGGTTTAGTGTGAACTACGTTCCTGACATGTGGCTGCTTTTGGTCTTCTCAGGCTCTGTGGGTTTGAACCATTCTTCGACCCCAGGGGGGATCAGTACATGTACAGCCGTATTCTGAACTGCGACTATGAGTTTGTCTCCCCCTGGTGGGATGAAGTCTCCCTCAACGCCAAGGACCTGGTGAGTCATTTTTCTGGGGAATTGAGACTGCCTGAGCCTAGTAAGTGGGGCCTAGTAATGTTTTAGGTTTTACAAGTTGCAATCACTACTATGTAATCTCAGGCCTTTGATAGTTCACCTTATTGCTGATGAGTGCAAAAGGCAAATTTAACCTAACTTCCAACTTACCTCTACACATCTGTTTAATCCTTGTGTTTCATCCGCTCATTCTGTTGTCAGAAAGCCACTTATTCCCCAAGAAGGGCAGCCTATGCTGAAAGTACAGAACACAGGGAGGGACCAGATGCCAGTCCATCACACCCTTTTCATCGTGCTTCTTTGAAATGTTCATACAAGAGATCACAGCTCATGAAACTTCAAATTATTCAAACATCTGTGGAGGGGCTACTGTGAATTGGACTTTAAAAGCAGAAAAGATCTTGCTCTTACTGAGTTTAAATTCATGGAAAAAAACTTACTGTTTGAATAGCAACAACAAAAATCTAGCAAAATCTTCATGTGTGGAATCAGCCTGGTTGGGTTTCTGGAGCCCAGCAGGAATTTTGTGTTAAGAAATGAGCCTAACAGCTGTGATTTAAAAATGGTCCTGTTGACGTAAAGCAGAATGACTCCCTTTTATGAGATTCAAATTAAAAACCTCTGCTGTATCACACCGTAAATTCAGTTCCATGGGTCTTTGCTGTGCAGTTTAAGGTGTACGAAATATACGTTTGTTCATTTAAAACAATTGTTTGTCCGATTTACTCAAAACTAGTTTCAGCTTTTGAAAAAACTAAAACCCAAGCACTCATGCCTTTTGCAGTTTTCTATCACTCTTTCACAGTTTATTTTTTAAATATAAGAAAACACCTGCTCATTTTAGGTTTATTCATTTCCTTTGAGGGTAGAATTAGACAGGTCAGTGTTTCCTGAGCTGTGTGTGTGCTGGCCCCATAGGTCAGTAAGCTGATCGTGCTGGATCCACACAAGCGTCTGACTGTTCAGCAGGCACTGCAACACCCCTGGGTGCTGGGTAAAGCAGCTCGCTTCTCCCACATGGACTCGACGCAGAGGAAGTTGCAGGAATTTAATGCACGTCGCAAACTGAAGGTCGGACTTTGACTTCACTTGTTTTTTTTTCTGCTTGGGTTAGGTTTACTGGCATAACCGCACCGTGGTCAAAAACTGTTTCTCAACCACAGATACATCATAGATATCAGAACTGATAATAGAGTGCTTTCAGACTTTTCCCCAGTGTGTGGTCTAGGTTATATATGGTTATTCAGCGTCATTTGTAGTTCCAAAACCATATATTTATCCTAAACTTACAAATCACACATTTAAATGAATTCAGGCTTGAAAGAATGGTGGTATCTTGTTTTTTTTTTCTTAATTTGTCTTTAATTCACCTTTCTGATTAATTTTGGAAATGCACGATGTTGTTTTTCTTATGTCATTTACAGATCTGTTAAAAAAAAACTTCCTAACTCTTCCTAATTTGCATGTGATCTGCCTTCAGGTAGTAATAATAATAATTAATAATAATTCCTTACACTTATATAGAGCTTTTCTGGACACTCCACTCAAGGTGCTTTACAGACAATGAGGACTCCCCTATACCACCAATGTGTAGCCCCACCTGGATGATGCGACGGCAGCCAGAGTGCACCAGTAGTCTCTCCACACACCAGCTCTCAGTGGGGAGGAGAGCAGAGCAGAGATGGGGATTATTAGGAGGCCAGGATTGGTAAAGGCCAGGGGGGATGTTTGGCCAGGTAGTGAAGAGTAAATGGCTCATCAGGTGCGTTATTCCAACGGCTTGCGTTTCTCTTCACATCTTCACAGGCCGCAATGAAGGCCATCGTGGCAACGAGTCGCATCGGGAACCACAGCCAGCACGAGGGCTCCCGGGGGAACAGACGGGCAGGCAGCCCCGGAGGACAGGTGGACAAGGCGCCCAGAAAAGGCAGCATGCAGACAGAGCCTTCCCAGGGTGCTCCAGGGCACAGCGCCGTGAAGGACAGGCAGGCCTCGGCGGAGGACTCCCCCAGCACTGGCTCCCCGGAGCCTCGTCCTAAATCCCCCCAGCCTGGCCCACAAAGGCCTCTGGGAAGTCCGGACAAAGCCTCCAAACATCACTCCAGCAAGCCCGACATCCACAAACAAGCCTCAGCCGTCCCGAAAACGGCTGTCGTCAAGCCAAGACCCCCCAGAAAGAGCTGTTCTGTGGAACCTACCAATGAGCACGATGCATCACCTACCATAGTCCCTGCTACCCCAAAAAACCTCAGCAATGGTTTCAGGATGGAGTCAACCAACAAGAGGACGCAGCGCTAATGATGTCCTGCCTGAGACCTGTGCCATGAGGAGGCCTTCTGGTCACCTCCGAGGTCAACCCCAACTGGGCGAGAGCAAGCAGGGCTCACTACATACTGGCCCGTTGGTGACGTGCCATTTCCATTTTGTGGTCACATGGACAAAGAAACGATTTTTGAACCTTTCTTTCAACATAAAGTCCAGTTTGAGCCGAAACTAACATGATTTTGAAACACTGAAAAGAAATGTAGAAGGAAGATAATTGTGGACAACAATTTGACTTCCCTCTTTCTCATTGACTGTTTTCTTTTGTAGTTTGTTGGAACCTTTTTTATAACTGAAGTTGCTATCCACTACACCACGTAGCAAAAAAAGGAGGTTCACACTGAACTTTTAACAGGAGGATTCTTCAGGTTTTCTACATTTTGTATGATTGCACGTGTAACTCTCGATACAAATTTTTGGTACATCTTGGTCTCTTTCTGTTTTTCAAAGGTGTTTGAAATGGTCAAACTTTTCTTATTCATACTAAATAATATATTCTGTCATTTTCATAAAAAAGTACCACAAATTCAATTGAACTTAAAGTGTCTAGCAGTCCATAAGGAAGACCATAATGTTGCCCTGGGTCCAAAAGTCATACGCTGCCATTATGAATCACATGCTAACTTCATCTAAACTACTCTGACCTATGACCTTTGGAAGCCCTGGAAACTAATCCATTAAAGAGTGTCCAGTTGGCAAACAGAGAGCAGATAGTATGCAGCTGGTTAGAACTCATACATGTATCAATAAAAATATTGTGTTGGTATTATCAGCTACAATACTTATTATTTGGGGTGCTGTGGTTGACCTACTGTAGGAACCATCTTGCAGGCCACAGACCGCGTGTACAGTATGTGGAGCTCATTCACACAACTGATCCCTGTTTTCTAGTGTAAATCAGACCATGGGACAGTCAGGGCACTTGTTGATGTTGCTGTGTAAGAAGCTGTACTGTAAAGGTGCCCATGGTCCTAGTGGTCCTGGATATGTACAAGGTATCAACCTTCCTTGTGGGCTTCTAGCTTCGACAGTAAGTTAAATATGTTAGCTGAGATCAGTTCCTCTATCTGTGTTATCGTTCTAGTCTACCTTTCTGTGTTTCTTTTGTTGTTGACGAATACCTGTGGTTCCCAGTCCCGGTCCTGCTGACCCACACACCTGCTGGTTTTTGTTCCAGCAAAGCCCTCAGTTACACAGTCAAACCCTTCATTGACTTAATCTGAATAAGATTGAGATATAGGACGTAATAAGAATAAAATTAATTTGCAATGTTAGTTCCCAGCTCTTAAACTTGATGGAGCTTTAACCGTTGTAATTTATAAGAGAAATAAAGTCCCAAACTTGTGACTAGAAACAAAATGCTAATTCAATTGAAGCAACTTCCTAGATCAGGTAAGGCTTCAATGATCCAATGCAGGTGGGGAGGAATGAAATCCAGCAGGTGTGTGGGTCACCAGGACCAGAGCTGGGAACCGCTGATGTAGACGTTTGGAGTAGCAGGCTGTTGTTTGCAACACCAGATCATTGAGCCCTGCCAAGCAGCAGTCAGTTACTGCAACATCCAGTGACTCTGCAGCATTCACAGGCTGCCCTTTTATCAGCATCACAAATGACATGAAAGTTTGATTGAGTTTTTTTTCCACATTTTTAGGTTGCGGTTAATTCACAGTGGAAGAAGTGAGTAAGGGTGATCCTCAGATAAAAGTACAGCTTGCTACTACAAATCGCCTCCTTGTAGATTAAGTCGACTTTTTGGGATTTATCATGCAAATGTAGATGAGCAGTGACTT